AGGGGTGCAAGATTATCTTCTGTGTCTGTGTTAATTGGTTTCCCTTTTCTTTGTTGAAGAGGGTCTGTGCAATCCTTCTGCCTAGTCCGCCATCTTGCCGGCAGGTTAGACGTGAACCTCTTGAGGGCAGGCTTCATGTTTGACCCAGTGCTGCTTTCCATGTAGTCTGACAGTGGCCTCCAAATACATTTGTGGTTTTACCTCTCACTGATCTTCTTCGGTCATATTCTGCCCAAGCTAGGACTTGGGACTTCTGCTATGTTAGGCAAGTTAATAGAAGTGATCAAGAGATCTAGCCCTGTTGTATGACCTTAGGGAAATTGCTTACCCTCTCTGTGCTTCAGTTTTCTCAGTGGTAAAATGGGGATAATAACAGTACATTTCTCATAGGATTATTTTAAGACTGAGTTAAAACAATGCAAGGAAAATGCATAAAACTGTGCCTGGTTCATAGTGGCACCCAGGACATGTCCAATATTAGAGAAAAACGTCAGGAATGTAATGGAGTGATTATTCTCAAGTGGGGCACCTTGAGGTGGGCTCTATGGCAGAGACTACGACTGCTCACCAACCTGCTTCCTCCTGTTCAGGGCACACAGCTCTGCTGCATTTCCGCATCTCCCTTGCAGTTGTATGTGTCCACGTGGCGAGTTCTGCCGGTGGTTTGTGAACAGAAGTGACGGGCACCCCCTCCAGGCTGGCCCAGAAAATCCTCCCTCGCATAATGCTCTGTGTTCTGTCTCCATGGGCTGGCTAAATGCAGAGGACCTTGCTCCTAGGGGAGGGTAGAGCCACAAGATGGAAGGGGCCTGGGTCCCTGACTGACCATGTGGAAGGATGCCTGTGAGTCAGGAACATCCAGCTGGACTTCACATAAGTGAGAAAGAGATGTTTATTTTTGTGTCATGTAGCTAAGATTTGGGAGTTTATCTGTTCTGGCTGCTAAAATTATTTAACTAACTTGGGGAAATTTTGTCCAGTGTTACTGAAGGTTCATTCCTCTTTAGGTTTCTGGGCACTGAACTCTTCTATAGGTGCTGCACAGCTGCCCTTTGGGGGTTGGGGGTGCAGACACTTGGGAAGACTCACTTGAAGAAGCCAAGTATTCCTAGCCGGTACTGGGTGATCACAACCAGCACATCTTCGTAAGCAGCCAAGGCAGACCCGTCGAAGATGGAAGCTGAGCCCTTCTCAAAAGCACCCCCAGGGAACCATACCATGACCTAAGGAGGAGGAGGAATTCTCCAGTCAGCCCACCAGGCACCCACATCCCCTTCCCATGCAGGCTGGTACACTCCTTCTTCAAGGAAATGTAAATCTTCTACTTTCCTTTTCAGGAGGCTCAGAAGATTCTCTTTTGTGAAGAAGGCAGCATGTGGATTCTGGTGTCCAAATGCTTGGGTGTGATTTCCAGCTCTGTCACAGACTAGCTGTGTGACTTTATATATATTACTTAACCTCTCTGAGGCTTGTTTTTCTCATTTATAAGATGAAGAATGAAAACATCTGTCTTTTGAGGTTATTATGTCATTTAAAGCTCAGAGCACATTCAAGTGCTTAATAAGCATGTGACCCACAGGAAGAATTTTGAACTGTTTTAATTTGGGTTTTTTTTCTCATGTAGAGAGAGAAGAGAGGAAAGAAAAGGAGAGAAAACAAAGTCTAGAAATTTTACTACATTGATTAGAAAAATTAGGACCAGGTATATGCAATGTTATCAAATAGTATTAAACCAAAAACCAAACTCATTGCTATCAAGTCAATTCTGACTCATAGTGACACTATAGGACAGAATGGAACTGCCCCATAGGGTTTCAAGGCTGTAATCTGCCACATCTTTCTCTTGCGGAGTAGCTGGTAGGTTTGAACCACCAATCTTTTGGTTAGCAGCCTAGCATTTTAAGCACTGCCCCTCCGGAGTGCCTTCAAATACTACTAGCATTATCTATATACTTAATAACAAATCTCTGTCATTTTTTAAAAAGATCATATTGATGTTGTTGTTGTTATGTGCCGTCGAGTCAGATCTGACTCATAGCGACCCCTCCTTGAGTTTCCTAGGCAGTATCACTACGGAAGTAGATTGCCCCATCTTCCTTCTGAGGAGTGGCTGGTGGATTTGAACCGCCAGACTTTTGGTTAGCAGTCAAGTGCCTTAGGCATTACACTATCAGAGCTCCCAAAAAGTCATATTAGAGACTGCAATGTTTGTGTCAAATAAAGAGAAAAAAATCTCAAGGAAAAAGAGGAGTTTGGCCAAACACTGCCTTTTGTACCAGGATCTACCACTTACTGTGTGTACAGCATGGAGCAAGTCACTTATTCTCTCCCTCTGCCCCATCTTCCTTATCTGTAGAATGTGCCCATTAATCCTTACTCCACAGGGTTCTGTGAGGATTGAATGAGATAACGCACTGTACCTGGCACATAGTACAAATACACGCCCAATAGATACTGCTGTTAGGATACAATAGAGTGAGTCTCCCATTGGAGAGCTATAGGGGAGGGAATGATAAGAGGGTGTGGTTAAAGAATAGATGTCAAGCTGGATCTTCTCCCACTCACTTATACAGGGACCTTTAAATAGCTTAGATATTTAACATTATTGCTATCTACCTTGCGAACAGAAAAATTGTAAACACAAGGATGCAATTAACCTATTTAAAATAATTTCTAAAATTAAAAATTTTGAGAAGAGTCCTTTTAAGCAATTACTTTTCTAAAAGTTTACAGATCATTAAATACTCAACAGAGAGGAAAACAAATCAAAATAGAAATCAAAGATCAAGACACTGCACTAAAGAATCAATCAGAAAAGAAGAAAAAACAAATTTCTCATGATAATGATTTTTCTCAAGAGTAACTGATATGTCCAGTGACTATATTTCCATTTTACCCAATCAGGAGCTGATCCAAATGCCCACCCACCCTCCTGGATCCCAGGCCAAGAACATGTGACCAGAGCCCAAGTACAGCAGGCAGCCTTACAGGGAGGTTGGATCCCTCAGCAGCGTGGGCCGGTGCATAGATGTTAAGGTACAGGCAGTCTTCCGACACTCCGAACTGTGGGTAACGCACCTTGAGCAAGCGTTGATCTGAGACCAGCCACTCCCGGCTTTGGAGGCACCTTAGAGGAGAGGAGATAGTTCCCAGAGTTGCTGTCAGTGAACTTGCCTGTAAGAGGCCAGTTCTCATGACTGGGAAAGCCTAGCAGTCTCCCCTGCCCGGAGCAGAAGCATATGGGGAGCAAAGCCCACAAAGCCAAATCATGCCCAACCCCCAGTGGTTGCTGAAAAACAACAGCCACAGAAACCCCATAATTCCCTTTGATCTGGTTCCTGGGTAGGAAATCACAACCTGCTGCATAATGTACCATTTATGCCCACCGCATGGCCACGCCTACACCTACCACCACAATATAGACTCACGCATAAAGACTCAAGCTGGCTCAATTATTCACCAAACTGTAGAGAAAATGACACTGCGTGGAATATCAAGGTCTTTGCTCCTATGGCTTCCTCTTCTACCTCCAGGGGGACCAAAGGGACATTTCCAGGCCTCCCTACCAGGAACTGAGACTGATCTGCAGGGAGACTCCTCCATCTAGGCCTCTGCTCAAGCTGGTCCCTCTGCTTGGACTGTTCTCCCTCCTTATCTGCTTGTTCATGTTCTTCCCTTTCCTTCAAATTCAGTCCAAGTGCCACCTCTTCCAAGAAGCCCTCTGGGATTTTTCCAGTTAGAACATAGCTCTTCTTTGGAGACATAACATATTTGTGTTCTTTCCTAGGCTTGTTAATAAAAGCTATCAGTCTCCCCAATTCAACTATGAGCAGCTAATAGTCCAGGACTCTGTATTAGTCACCTCAGCACTCCATACCAGGAGCTCTGGTAGCACAGTGCCTAAGGCACTTAATTGCTAACCAGAAGGCTGGTGGTTCAAACCCACCAGTCACTCCTTGGAAGGAAGGTGGGGAATCTACTTCCATAGTGATACCGCCTCAGAAACCCAAGGAGGGGTCCCTATGAGTCGGATCTAACTTGATGGCAAATAACAACAACAGCACTCCATACTTGACATGGAGCCTGACACACAGTAAGATTAAATGAGATTATATATGTGAATATTTCTCACGCTCAACTAATGTTACGTTTTTTGTTTTTGTTTTTAATAGGACAGTCTGCACTATAGGCAGCAGGAAACCATCATTGCAAATCTACCCCTGACTGGTGCTTATGCCTCTTGCCTCTTTGTATCTTATTTTATCAGAAATTGAGGTCAGGGGGTCATTCTTGACTTCTGCTCAAGACTAGACTAGGTGGTTCTCTCTGACCCCAGCACCATTCTCTGACTCCCTATATTTTAATTGTCCATTGTCTTTTATGCCTTCCTAACCACCAAAATGTAAGCTCTGTGACGATAGCCCTGATTAATTCATTATGGTATTCCTCAGGGCCTGATAAAGATCCAAATATTGAGTGGACACTCAATGAATATTAGTTGAATGAATAAATGAATTGAATGAATGGATGAAACAATGAGTTTCAACTCAGTGCACTCAGTCCCTGGGCCACATGGTACCATCTTCTATGGCTTGGGGAGCTCACTGGCCTGGGACCCAGTGCCAGAGGTGGTCTAATCTGAGGGCTTCACATAATCTAAAGTGTTGGAAGATTCTTGGGGATTTTTAAGTCTCATATCCCACACAATGCATGAGGATCCTCCACAATTAACCTCATAATTAGCTGCCCACCTAAGCTTGAAAATGCCCAGTGACTGGGAGCTCCTTACCTCCCAGGCCACCTCTGCCACAGAGATGCATTCAGGTATACATTCCATAGACATTTAGGGAGTTCTTCCTAAGGAGCTCTGATGGCGTAGTGCCTAAGGCATTTGACTGCTAACCAGAAGGCTGGTGGTTCAAACCTACCAGCCACTCCTTCGAAGGAAGACTGGGCAATCTACTTCTGTAGAGATGCTGCTTCAGAAACCCAAGGAGGGGCTGCTATGAGTTGGCATTGACTCGATGGCAGTGAGTTTGGTTTCTTTTGGTTTCCAATGAGCTGGGCATTGTATTAGACACCGTTTTGACTACTAGAATGTTCTTTACTTTCAGCTAAAATTTCTGTAGTGTCATTCTTTCCTCTAAACCCTTAGCCAGTGGAAACAGTGGAGGTGCAAGCCTGAGGTCACATGGAAACACCTAGAGAGTTACTTCTAACATGACCAGCAGCCCCATCGCAGTACTGCCCAAACCTGCTTGGTCCTCAGAATCCCTAGGGAACTTTCAGATAACACAGTTCCATGGGTCCAGCGATGAAGATTCAGATTCAGGAAGTCCAGACAGGAGCCCAGGGAAACTGCGTATTTTTAACAGTGTCTCCAGCAATTTTGGAGATCATCTCATTTGGGAACTATGAGACTTTCCCACCTCTGTAGCCCTCTCCTCCTCCTCTACCTGATCCTGACTCTTTCTCTCCTTTCTCACTGGGGAACATGACCCTTGTTGCTCCCCAGGGCTCTGCCCCTAGCTCCCAGACTCCCAGAGCACCCATGAGACTGAGCCTGGTCTTACGAGTTAGGGTAGGAGGTGGCGTCTCGGAAGCCTTTCCAGGGCAATGCTGGCTGCGGAGTGGCAAATCGCAGAGGTCCTAGAGGGGGTGTAGCAAAGGGGAGCCCAAGGAATATGTTCACAGGTGTGGAGCTTCCTAGCACTGTGATTTGTTTTCCCCGGATCCATCCGAGCCTGGTGTTCCTGGCTGGAGCATCCGCAGCAGTCCCTGAGGAAACACATGGGGGGGAGGAATCAGGAGCCGGCTGGCAAGAGGCAGAGAGCCAAACCAGTGGGGGGCGCTCTTGATCCACCCAGAGCCTGTGCAACAGGAAGTACGTGGATACCCTCTCAGTGAATCCACTTTGCTCTCTTTAAGATTACCTCAGAAGTCACTACCATCATTGAGTACTGATTTGGTTTCTCCTACAAGCCCAGTACCAAACCCCAAACTTTTCTGGGTTAACACAGGAACCCATTTCCTTTCTCCTGAGGATCTCCAACACAGAGCTTTCTCTTTCTACGGGATTGATATGGGCTGGGCTCTGTACATTCTAGGACCCCACAAACTTGTTTGGCCTGTGGTTTCCCACACTTCCATCAATTTCATACCCACCAGCATATCTGTACATCAGCTATATGATTATTGACTCTTAATTTTTCTTAACATCAAATTGAAAAAAATCTCATTTTAAAGTTTTACCTAGAGAAGACCTAAGTGATAACATCTATGGAATTGTGGTTTCAGTGAGTTAGGTAAATGCTTCTAAACACACACTACAACAAATATACAAGAATAAGTATGTTGGTGTTAGCTGCTGTCAGTAGCTTCTGACTCATAGTGACTTTTGAAGATTTTGAAGATTGCCAAGCCAGTCTTCTGAAGAGCCTCTGGGTGGATTCAAACTTCCAGCCTTTTAGCTATGAGTCTAGCATTCCATGAGTAAACAGACATTAATTAAAATCTAAAATTGTCACCCGGATGCTGTTTGAGATCATCTCATCCACTTCCAGGAGCATGAAGATGACACTTTGGGAGACTAAACTCAGGCCCTCTTCTCAGTTTCCACATGTAATAGGAACCTTCAGACGGAAATTGCCCAGCTATTTGCTAAGCAGGACGCAGGTATTCTGGCACTACCTGCTCTAGTATCATTTCAGTGATGAAAGTCCTGTCTTTGCAGCCAGAGCTACAGGGACGCCAGGACAGGTACTCTGCAAGCCCTCGCAGGATGCAAACAGCCCAAAGGCTGGAACAGAGTCTTCCATTCTCTCCTCGCCAAAGGAAGCTCTGTCCCTGAGAGTCCCAGCAACACAAGACATTGGTCAGGTGCCCCACGAGCCCTCCGAGACCTCTGAGAAATGCATTCATTTCTATCAATAGGTGTAATCAGTGGAAAATCCTCTGAGAAGCAACTCCCCCTCCCCCATCTCCTGAGAACCCTCTTCTCCCACTAGGCATCTCACCCTTGGTGGCAGCTGCAAGGACCCAAACAGTCCAGATAAGGGTCTGGCCTGGGTGCACCCAATTCCTACTCATCTGGCTGGCTTTTCTGAGCTCTCCGGACATCCACAGCCGCAGCTGGCCTCAGAGAGCTCCAATCAGGGCCAACAATGGGCAATTGGTGTGCAGGCAGACACAGGGCACAGGGTCAGCAAAGAATTGCATTAGACCAAGACTTTCTGAGGGACTTGGCCAAGCAAGACTTTCCTGTTCTCATTTACATGAGAAGAAGCTGATGATTAACTCTTGAGTTAATGAAAGACAGTTTGGTTGGCATTGGCTTCATAGGTTGGTAGAAGAAGAAAGGGCATTCATGATACGCTAATCCAAGGATCTCAAACTCAAATACCTACAGGGGCCGGGAAGGTAGCAAACAAGCAGTGAAGTTGGCCGGGAGAAATGCCATAGGGATTGATGGGGACTGTGGCAAACCAAATAGCATATACTCCTTATAAAGGGAGTAGTGACGTCTCAAGTCTACCCCACCTTAGGCCTGTGGCAATGCAGATAGGTCAAGCCAGAAGTGGCGTTAATTTTTTTAAAAAAAATTTGTCACATACTCCCAACACAGTATTTCTACAGGATTGAATTTTACCAGGGGCCAACTCTCTGTTTATTGTGATCTAGGCCCAGGATCTCCAGTGGAAATATGAGGCCACAGGCTGAGGAGGTGAAATGACTATATGCGGTTCTGCTGAGACCTGTACCCAGCTTTCTGGACTCTCACTGCAGTGCTTTTCCGTTATGGAGCCAGGTGCTGTGTCTCACGGGTGGAGCATGAAAAGTCCAGATCAGGACCCAGGAGCATCAGCTCCCCCCCAACTCCACGACCAGCCGAGGGCAAAGGATCTAGGCTTCCCAAATGCTTGGGCATGGGCTGGAAGAGTCAAACTTATCTGGGACACTTTTTAAAAATGTAGTTTTCTGTTCCAAACCTTGGAGATTTACAGGTAGGCCTCTGGAATTTAACAACAACAATAGTAGTTTTGAGAAGCACAAATCGAATGCAGTGGATTTCAGAGTTCTTGGTGTTCAGAGACCTGGTTTCCATCTTGATTCTCCCCAGATTTGCTGTGTGTCCTTGAGCAAATTCTTTCTCTTCTCTGGGCTCCAGGCTCCCCATCTTATGATGACAAATGTGCACTCATTTTAGAATGACAAGTGCCAGGGACCCAAGTGTGAATGAGGTTTCCAGATCTGCCTGTGATGCTAGGAGATCCCAGAGAAGGGCGAAGGAGCAGAGACATTTCCTAGAAGAGTAAGAAGGGTATTGGCAGTACGAGTGGCTCTGAAGACACAAACTTTGCCAGCTCAAAATGGCATCTCTATCTGGCCGTTTTAACAAGGGTCCTCAGTGTCCATTTTTACTTTAGTCATATTGGCAACCTCCAGGATCCTTGGACCATATTCCCCTTCTGGTCTTCCCTAATTGCCACCTAGAAGTCTGTCCCTCCCTCTGATCTGAAATAATATTAATTCTCTACATTGCCACGCACTTAACCATTTTCAAAGTGCCTTCACATGTATTGTCTTGTTGATTCCCACCCCTAATTTTTGATGTTTTTCTTCTTTAGCTCCTTATCTTTTAAAGCCCGGTTTAACTCCTATCTCTTTCCAAAACCCTTCCTAAATTCTCCTGAATTCCTTTGCTTTACTTTTCCATTTTTCTTGGTTTCTAGTTAGTTGTGAACATACCTGTCTTTCTCCTTGAGAATTCACCAAGGTCTTTCCGTGTATGTATCCACCACAGCTCCTTCCATATATATTGTGTTCCCAAAGCTAAGCTCAGTCATTGGCCTTTCAGCTTCACAATTTATCTCATCCCCACTACAAATGTGTCTATCATTTATTTGACTATCATGTATATCAAGTACAAATATCATTTACTTGATATTTTCTTTAAATTGAAATTAAAAAAAAAAAAAAAAACAAACTTAACTGTCTATTGTCAAAGGAAACTTGACACACCTGAAACAGTGGGGATAGTATTTTGAAAGGGGAAAACCAGTATGTTTTGCATTTCTATACGGACAAAATCATGCTCCAACCCCTAGAGCCATCGTTGGAAATCATTGTGGTGAACAATACCTTCAGAAGGAGAAGGTATGTGTAGAGGACAAAAAAGAGGAAAATTTACCCCTCCTGCCCTGTGCATCTTTGGAAAGAAAAGAGAAAAGAGATAGAGAAAGCAAGAGATGATGTAGGATACTGAACAGTGGCTCCCCCAGCTTAGACCTAAGTTCCAAAGTGGTGTGCTAGACAGGAGGAGGCTAATCCAACATGGGGGCAGTGACAGCAGAGGGGAAGTAGTTGGACAAAAAGAAATGTCAGGTAGGTCTCCTTATTTCCTTTGGGTCCCCTTGGAAGGGACCCAGACATCACCATGTGGCCTTGAAGGGAACTTGGAGGTTATTGGGTCTGGCTGAGGAGCTAGATGGAGTCAGAGAAGGACCAGAAGGCTAAGTGCTTTGTAAGGTTTGAGTGCTTCCTGGGTGTGAGGACAAAGCAGAACCATAACTAAATCTGGAGTAGAGCACAGTGCTAGTTCAAACTGAGGCAGGACACTGAGTCATCAGGGGACAACCAATGGACTTTGTTGAAGACAAGAGGACAAACCACAAGTTAGCTATTCTGGCATTTTCCCAGGAACCTGGTACAAAGGGACATTGCTGTGGAGAGCGTGATAATGCCAGGCCTTTTGCAAGTGGATCCAGGCTCCCTCTGCTCTTCTACTCACATGGTCATATACACCTCCCCTACCTCATACAGTCAGTCAGACACCATCTTGACAGGAGTGTGGGTGAGATGGGGAGAAACTCTGAGAGACTATGCATTTATTTGAAAAAAAAAATATGGTACTTAAAAAGACTATTTAAAATATTGTATTTATTAATAATTTAAATTATTATATAATACTGAATTATTGAATCTGAATTTACCAGATTGAATTAAATACAATTATCTACCACTAACCAGTGGTAAGGTATTTCCTCTTTGTTAAAAAGGGAGATTAATAAGTGTTAGATATGTATAAAATATATACTGCCACCAAACTAAGTATATCTCTTCTATACAGTGAGTATTGATAGAGAACTATGGAGAGAATCTTCCTAATTCTATAATTACTATTTGGTGTCCTTTCTAGGTCACATCTCTAATTATCTCAGGCACCCCTTGATGTACAGAACCTATCCTCTGGAAAACACTGATATGTGAGATAACAGTGATACTAGCTGTCATTTATGGTAAGTACTTTACAGGTACAGACCCTGAGTTAAATGCACTGCATCCATTATCTAATTTAATGTAATTATCCACATTTTGTAGATGAGGAAATTGAGGCTGCAAGGTAGGAGGACTTGTCCAATATTACAAGGCTGAGAAACAGCACAACTAGAACATGAGTCCAGGTTTCCTGCCACCACACTGAATGTTTTGCCATCTGGGGAAGAGAGTAGAAAATAGGAGTGGTGGTAGGGAGTAGAGAGAGAAGCAATAGGAATATGGAGGAGGTTTGGCAGGTTTCTGCAGTTTTTGGGCTGTGAAAAATCACTTAACTTTCTATGAAGCTTACTAACCACTTGACATCACCTCCTTGGACCTTGATGTCCCCATCAGTGGCACAGACCAGTGGCCAGGATGGCCCCTGAGAGATTAAGACGTTTGACGGGCTCTTCCTGTTCTCCCATATTTCTCTGCTAAAACCCTGAGGGAGAAACCAGGGTGAGAGTGTTGACTTCAGTCTGGGCTTGGCTTAAAATCTATGCCTATCAGCAGGGGAAATCAAAGCTTGCTCCTGGATTCTTGTAGGGGGAGACTAAAGAAACCTTGAAGACATCAGAGCAATGGCATCTGTCCATGATGGCAATGTGACCTGAAGGTGGACAAAACAGAGAAGAATGGAGCAAGGTTAATGGACAATGCCCTTCTCACTCCACATGGGCCCAGGGCTACTGGCCTCAGAGCTTTCTTCTCATGACCTAATTCTTCAAACCCACCTTATGTTCACGTTAAACCCAAGCTCTTTTACATTATGTCCAAGGCTTTTCCTACTCTGGCTCTACGTTAACATTCAGGCTAATGCCTCATTGCTGCATCTCCATCACTGCATCTCATCACTGCATCCCACCACTGAATTCCCATCACTATTTCTTCACTTGGTAAAATCCTACTGGTCATTCAAGGTGCCATGGAAACACCAGGACTTCAAGCCATGAACCTGCTTTTTCATTGTGCTTGGAAGGAAAAATGACCAGATATGTGATTGTATACCAATTCATGGGCTGTGGCTAATGGTTTGGCTAGATGGTCAGAGACTTGGAAGGAACGTGATTGGAAAATTGGTGACAAAGAGATCTCGGGTACAAGTATATGGATAGACTCCACTGAAGGGGCAAAAGATGTGAAGATATTTGTGTCTTCTGTGAATGCTCACCAAAAGGTGACCTCAACAGACTCAGTATACCATTGCACATCTGGCCCTTTCTCCTTCCAAACAAAATGGACAAAATTGAACAGACAATTCATCTAATGAATGTCAGTCTGCCTCTCTCCTCAGGTACATAGTGTGTACATAATAGGCCCATGAGCAGAATACTATAGTGACAGAGATGGAAGCTATGCGTGGGCTTCCATTTACTGGGCTAATCTAAGTAATACTGCTCCTGAACGCCCAATAGTCAGCATCAGAGGCTAATATGAGCCCTCAGTATGGTACCAGCATTCGGTGTTGTATCAAAAACTATTTGGTAACAAGTTGGCTGTGTCAGTCCACTTCTACTGTAGAGGGGCAGCTACTCATCTGTCCCAGAACTGACATCTTCTCCAGATACGGGTTAGCCTTCCCTCCTCACTGTGCCCTTGCCAGCATCACTCTCTAAGGGCTTACATTATAATGGCTCATTCACTAACATGAGATCTCATGTAACATCACCTCAGCAAAAGGGACTCATTTTTCATTTAAGAATGAGACAGTGACAACAGAATCCATTGGTCCTACCATATGCTGCATCAACTGGAAAGATCAGCCTAATAGA